CCCCCCCCCCGCCCGCCCCCGTGCAGACTCCTCCCTCCATCCACCCCAGCGGCCCCTCCTCTTTCGTTCAAGGCCCCGCCCACGACCCGGACTCCCGGTCGCACCTCTTGAGTGCCTGGCCGGCCAAGGGCGTGCCCAGGATGCTGCCTAGATGACTTCCCCAGTCCCAGAGCACAGTCACTGATTTGGCCTAAGAATGACAGCAGCTGGCATTCGCAGCCTTTGCTTACCCCAAATGCCTTCTAGGGTGGGTTGAATGGTCTCCCCCAAAGAGGGAGACCCAGTCCTAACCCCTGGTACCTGTGAATGTGACCTGATTTGGAAATTGGATCTTTGCACATGTAACTAAGGATCTCAGTGAGGTCCTCCTGGAATTCGTGTGGGCCCTAAACTCCATGGCTGGGGGCCTTACAAGAGGAGAGTTTGGGACACGCAGCGACGGAAGAGATGCAGAGAAGGAGCCCTATGAAGACGGAGGAGGAGACGGGATTCTGGCGGCTGCCGAGCACCCAGGGTGGCCGGCTACCCCCAGAGACCCCGACGGAGGCGACGGAGGCGGCAATGGTTCTCCCCAAGGAGCCCGCCCTGCCTGCACCGCCCTCTCGGACCTGTGGCCTCAGCGATGGGAGGACATGTCTGTTGTCTTAAGCCATCGCCTCTGTGATAATTTGTTATGGTGGCCCCAGCAAACTAATTCATCCACCCGCTCGGAAATTCAGCTGCAGGAGACCTCACCCCTTTTACAGATGAGCAAATAGACACACAGGGAAGTAGGTGACTACCGAGGTCCCACAGCTAATTGGTGGCAACTGGGGGCAGGTCTGGGTCTCCCACCTCCTAAATCCTTTCGCACTCTTGTCACTCGAACCAGGAGGCTGCCCCCCGTGTATACTACCACGTCAAGGCTCCCCAAGTGCACCAGCAACCCCATTGTGCAGAGACACAAAGCAAGCCCCAGGCCAGAGAAGGCGCCGGAGTGGGGAGCTGGGTGCCTCCTCTGGAACCTCATAGTCCTCTCTCTGTGCCCCGGAGCCTGTCCCCAGCACTGGTGTTTTCATCGATTAATTAATTCATGGCTGCAAAGTGGACACCCAAATCGTTCTGCAAACAGTGGTGTTAATTTTTAATCACCATCATTATGAGGCACCCACTTAACTCCGGCTGCAGATTTCCTGAATCAGCATCACCCTGCCCCTTTCCCTCTATAGATGCACTGTTCTGAAAAGCAGGCGTGCAGGGAGCTCTAGAATTCTCTTGTCAGGAACTGGGGGAGGTCCTCGAGCCCGTCCCCCCTGGCCTTGGATCAATCTCAGCCAGTGCTTTTCCGGGCCGAGTGTGGCCAGGCCCTCCTCCCTGGTGTCTGTGCATCAATCTGCCTACCTCCCGCCTTGGGCACCCTGAGTTCATGCCACGGGTATAGACTGTGGCATTGGGCAGACCAGGGTTCAAATCCGGGCTCTGCGGGGCCCTAGCCCGTGATCGCGGGCCAGTCATTTAATCACCTCCCTGAACCCCAGATTCTGCATCTGTGAAATGGGACCCACAGTGTGACCATACCCGGGGTGCTGTGTGAGAAGTACATATGGGCATGTGGGTGCCTGACATCAGGGAGTAGCTGGGTGGGAGCCGTCCCTCCCAGAAGGTATGTGCCATAAGGAGTGAGGAACGGTGTCCTGCCCCCAGGCCCAAGGTGCCACCTTCCTCAAGCTTTCTGTTCCTAAGGGCCCCTGATAAAAGAGGAGACAGGGGCCCCCCTAGGAGACAGGGGGCTCCATGCTGTTCAGGCGCTGCTGGAGGGGCCGCTCTAAGTCCAGCAGGGACGGGCCCGGTGGCTGGATAGCCATGGTGTTGAGATGGAGTGGAGGTCAGAGGATCCCCCAGTGACCCACAGCTGCTGCTGTTCAGCTCAGCCCCAAGGACAATGAGCCAGTGTGCCCTGCCCTCTCCACTGCTCTGTGCCCCAGAGATGCCACTTGGCGGGGACAGCTGTTGGCCTCACAATAGCCACTTGGAGTGCAGGGCAGGGAGCTCCAGC